ATATATAATACAATATATATATATAAAAAAATATATATATAAAAATATATACATATATATATATATATATATATATATATATATATATATACAGAAAAAAATATTGGATGTATAAATGCGTTGGTAGCTAATGAAATACCAATAATATAACAAAAATAAAATATTCTAGCGAATTCGATATTATTTCTTTTGTATTATTATTATTATTATTATTATTATTATTATTATTATTATTATTATTATTATTAGGTAAGGGAATGTTTATTTTCTCCTCGTAAATATGTCTTTTTAATTGAGATGATTTAAGGGACACGTCAACGTTGATGTAGATCGAACGCGATAACGTTAATTAACGGGGAAATAACGTTCGAACACAACAAACGTCCGAGGCATTACCATATCGAAACGAGATAAATGCCGAATGACCAAAATATGAATCGATTAAGGATCAAAGCTGCTAAAAACGATGTCGACCATACATATGTATCCGAGAGTAAACTTGAGCGTGGCCATTCAAGCTGTCAACGTAATTTTCAACACGTACGTTACGTACGTACGTATCATACGTACGATACGTACGTACATACGTATTTATATATGTATATATGTATGTTAGTCAATAAAAAGTTTATTCCGGAATGAATGAGAAAAAGCGAAGTGCTGTGTAATATATTGTACATAATGAGTGCAATCTCGTCGTAATTAGACATTTTTCTTTTTTTCTTTTTTTTTTTTCCTTTTTTGTTTTTGTTCTCTTTTTGCTTTTCCTTCTTTTTTTTCCTTTTTATTTTTTTTGTTTACTTTTTTTTCTTCTTACCAATTACATACCACGTAATAATCGAATGACAATAACCAATAAATATTTCTAAGATAAACGATTTCTTTTCATGTTTTATATTTGTACATATATATTGTATAAATATGTGTATATATATATATATTTTTTTGTTATTGCTATTAAATCGTATATTTTGAATAATTTCCAATAAATTCTTTTCTTACTATTCAATGGTATTCTAAAGAAATGATCTAAATATTTCTAATAAATTCAAATGAACATTTTATGATATCAAATGATAATCAAACAAATGTTCGAATCAATGATATATTATTTATTGAATTCATTATTACTAATACTTTTAATAACTTTATAGATCATGCACAATAAAAAAAATCTTTTGAAATTAATAGAAAAATATTTAAGATAACATTTTTAATATACTTCATAATTATAATTAATATAATTCATAATTAACTATAAATATTTTTAATATAATAAATTCAACGTTTCGTCAATTATCAATAATTAAGAATATTTTTAAACACGTAAAATCTATCGATATTAAAGAGAAACAAAATTAAAAAATTATAAAAAAAATATAAATGACGACAATTTCATCGTAATTAAAAATAAATAATATGTAAATTATTTTTTTAATAATATCAAAGTGTTACAAAAGAAATGTAAAAATATAAAAGGCGTTTTTATTCGAACGATTAATAATTATAGAAAATATTTACATTCGTAATCGTAGAAAATTAACATCGTAAATATTGTTGCGAATCGATCAAAAGATGATCGATCGTTAATTTAAATCTCAACAATATATTATAAATATAAATGTACAACCATGAACAAATCATAAATCAAAAAGAAAGAGAAAATATATATATGTGAAATGATTTTCTCTCTCTTACTATGGAACGCGTTCATGGGAACGCGCGTTGTTCAAAGTAATTCTCCGATACGTCAAGCTCAACGATACGAGGAAAACCTTAGCTAAGACATTTTGGTATATCGTGGTGGAAAGTGTGTTCCAAAAATATGCACCGAGGAGAACGTATTAAGAGAAACACGAACGAGAAAGAGAAAGAGAGGGAAAGAATGAGAGAGAGAAGGAGTAAAGAACATAAAGCGACGGCCATAATTTCAATTAAATTGACTGACACAGATTAGAATGATATAGAATATTTTTTTACGTTCTAAATTTAATACATCTAAGGTATCTATAGGATCGTTCGCCTAATTACAAACTTTATTCAATAAAAAATAAATAATACGATAATTTTTTAATATCAATAAACAAACAATTGTCTAGTAAAATTAATCGATTATCGTAATAAGAATGGTAAAGTAATTTGTTTTTCTTCAACGTTGTATTAAATCAGAAAGAAGAAGAAGAAGAAGAAGAAGAAGAAGAAGAAAAGAAAAAAGAGAAAAAAGAAGAAAAGAAAAAAAAAACAACAAAATTTTAATTTCTAAAGCGAATTGATACGTCCTTTCGATTATTTGTATTATCTCAAGGAAATAATATCGACATGTGTAGACGGAAATAGTCGGAATCGAAGAAAGCAACCATCGTTGGACAGACAGTAAAACGTTATCGTCAATATTATCATTCGCATTGAGTACAATTTGTTCAAAGAAATCTCATCGTAAAACTCGACAGACCGAAACGACGCTTAAAGTTCTTCGGGTTGTTGTTACAAGCCGCGAATG